TAAGACCCTCGTCGTAGTCGGGCTCACTATCACTTCATTGCCAATTACAAAGAGTCGGTGAAATTGTTTTCGACCCCTTTAAAGGGTCGCTTTTCGGCAAACACCGTCTTCACATGACCGTAATCGTCCACATATTTCATGCACTGATGTAGTGTGGATGGGACAATCAAGTTGCTATGAATCCATGGCCGACCCAACAGCATATTATAAGAGGGTTCCGCATCGATTACATAGCAAATCACTTCAATTTTCATGTCGCTAAACTGGCATTTGAGGTGGATCTTACCCAATTGTCGGGTTGGCGTTAAAGCCGAAGATAGGGGTGCTTGTTGCAGACAAACGTCTCCGAGGCACCTCCAAGTGTTGAATAAGCTTTAGGGGCACGATGCTCAGTGCAGAGCGTGGATCTACTTGGATTCTATCCACTCTAGCAGAGCCGATGTACCTGTTGAAGTACAATGGTCGATCATGCTTCGTGGTCTTGATGAGCATGTCGTCAGGAGTAAAAGTTATGCAAGGCACATGTTGTTTGGATGTCAAGCAGCACTATGGACACCCTTTTTTCCCCTCCTCTTCGGGTGCCGGTGGCACATGGGCTACGAAAGCGTCTGCATTGGCTAGCGCCTCTCGTAAGTTTCGCGAGTAGACTTGGACAGCCGCAGGAGTTCATACAAAGTGATCATGGCTGGAATATTAGCCAGTTGTGCAAGCACATCGAACTGGAAAGGTTGGCTGCTTGAGCTAGCAGGAGTCTCCTTCATCAGTTCTTTGTTGTGACGCAACTCTTTCTGCTTAGGCCTTTCGGGCACTGGTTGAACTGCTGGTGATGGTTCTGCTGGTGGCTTCGTAGGGTTTTCTGTCGCTAGAGGGTAGTACTTAGTGAAGTCCTTCCTCACCCTGGTAGCTAGCACAATCGTCTCGTCATCGGAATCGATGATTGGTCGTCGCTTCGACTTTATCGTCGTTCGAAATTGCAGACACAACGTTGCAGAGCTTTGCCTTTCTTTTGGACTTCTTCGAAGGTCTAGAAGTCCACTGTTCATCGTTGAGGAGATCGGGATGGACCCACATCATTTGTCTTGACAACAAGATCTACGGTATCAAACCTTTCTCCCGCTGATTGTGAGGATTAGTGTTGACGGCCCTTAATTCCGCCTTCGGAATGGGTACGACTCCTGTCGGCGCATGGACTTCCAGGAGGTTTGTCCCGAATTTCAGAGTGATCATATTTGTAGTCACTTTCTTCTGCGTCGTTTCCTTCTTCAAGACTCCTGCTTCATAAAGGGCCCGAATCTTGTCTTTGAGGACATAACATTTGGAAGTGGGATGATGAAATATCCTGTGGTACGCACAAAAGTTAGGATCATCCATCTTGTTCAGATCCTCCTTCCTACTCACCTCTGGCAGCTTTATTTTATTGCTCTTGACTAGTGTATTGAGGATAGCAGCAATTTGATCTTCTCGGAAGTCGTACTACTTCTGAGAGTGTGGTTCAAAAAAGGTAGATTTTTGCTTCTAGACCGGCTTAGAGACTGGAGTAGTCTCGACAGCCATGGTCTCCTTACCCTTTGACCGAGAGGGATTTCTGGATGAATTTTGCTCTGGAGCTCCTCTTTTATGTTGAGGTTCTTCGGCTTCCAGCCTTTTGAGTATGTTTTCTATTTGCTCGTCTTGGTGAACAAGCTCTTTCCAGGTTCGGGTTTCCACCGCGCCAACCTTGGACAAAATATGGATCGAGAGGTTATTGCGACACATCTCGATCAACGTGCTTTCAGAGACCTAATCACGACAATACAACGACCAATTCCTAAATCTCTTCAAGAAGTCGTTGACCGACTTCCATTTTCTCTGATTTTCAGCCAGCAAAGTGGACATTGACACTTCTGTGTCATCATCAAAGAAACGGGCCACAAATAGATTCTCCATGTCAACCCATGATTTGATGGAACCTGGTTCCAACTTGCAAAACCATTCGAAGGCCACCCCCTTTAGGGTTCCGATAAATAACCGAGTGAGGATAGGATCATTTCCCATGAGAAATCCTGTTTGAGCTAGGAAATAGTAGATGTGTTGTGAGGGAGATCCCTTGCTGTCAAACTGGACTAGGCTCATGGGCTTGAACTTTGTCGGATAAGGAATCATATCCCATTCGATCAGATATGACCTGACCACCCCCAGCTCGTTCATATTCTTATGAATCTTCAAGGCATCGAGCTGACTTTGGAATTCGTCGAGCTTTTGTCTCGAGAGTTGCTGCCAGAACGTGACGTCCCTTCCAAGGCCTCGGATGAGGAATCAGAGGATGACCCTCTTCCCCTTCTGTCGTTTGAGGGGGAGTAGGTCCCCGCTCTTATTATTTGTGGATGAATTCGGGAGAACCCGCAAGGTCCTCCTCTTCTTCTTCTTCTTCTTTTCCAAAAGCTTTTCGAGCATCTCTTTCATAGTGTTCATTGTCGCTTGTTGCATGGCAATCACAGCTTATTGCTCTTCCAATCTTCTGGCCACTTCATCAGGGACTTCAGCCATATACACTCTTGCATGCTTGCCTTGGATCGAGTTTGACGCCTAAGACGTTGCTACTGCCGAGCAATCATTCTCGTCATCATCAAAAACAGATACTAGTCGCCTGTAATCAAGCAGTATAACCACCCCCTTTTTAGTCTGGGTACGTTGGTAGACACCTTCAGTTTCAATGGAGATGCCCTTCAGTCCTGGCAAAAATTCAATGTCGGAAGAGTTAGTTTTTCGCCTTGGACTTTCCTGTCACATTGACAGTTGCAGCCAAGAGATCCAAGTCATCAGAAGCTCGTCTCCTCTGACGATTGCGTCTTCGGCGAGGAGGTCTTGTCTCTACTGGTTGCTGAGAGATCCTCTCGAGCACCAATGGTTTCAACGTTTCAGCACACCGGCAGTTAGCGAGCACTGCTGTAATGTGTCTCTCACAGTGGCACTAAGGAGTTGTCTCGTAAATAGTGCGTTTGTGAGTCAAACGCTCTCTAAGATCCCTCCGTAGGTTGATGGTGACAACTCCCAGCGTTAGAAGGACTAGCTGAGTGCTTATGCGAAGAATGTTGAAAAGAACACTTGAAAGAACACTTGGAAAAAATCACCAAGTGTCGAAATCCGGCGAGCTTGACTTGACAGGCGAGGTTGCCTAGTCTGGCGAGGTTCGCCTATTAGGCGAACTTGAGTTTGCTGGCGAGGTTCCAGTTGTGGTTCTTTCAGGCGAAGTTTACCTTTTTAGCGAACTTGCATGCCTATAGAGAAAACTTTGCCTGCTTTACCTTTCTAGCAAAGGTCATTTTGCAGGCAAGGTTGAATAGTTAAGCGAGGTTGGACAGTTAGGCGAGCTTGGTGAAGTTCTCCTATTAAGTTAAGCCCGTCTGAGCGACTAAGTCCGCCTGGCTTGTGAAGTTCGCCTGAATGGTGATCTTCACCAGTAATGCGAAGTCCGCCTGAACTGCTGAGTTCGCCAGATTTAGGAACTTGTTGTAGTTCGCTAGAACAGAGAACTTTGCATTCGTTACTGGCTCTATTCTTGTTTGTAAGGCCTGAATAGTAGTTTAGGCCATCATAGGAGAATAGGGCACGTGCCTCATGGAGAACGCGGGCTTGTCGTCGCCTCTGCTTGGCCCTATTTAAGAGAGAAGCGTTCATGTCAACAGTGACGGCGTGATCTGCGCCAACACGAATTTTGGTCTCCTCGGGGGCAGGAGATTGCGTGGATTGTTTGACAACCCATCGAACAACTCCTTGGTTGGCATTCTTAGCCTTTTGGTCGGCCACAACCATCTTGGGAGGGGTGGAACCCCCAATGCTTGCTCGGGTAGAGCTTTCAGATGTAGTAGCCTTGGTTTGTTGGGGTTGGGTCACACACATCACTTTACGATATTTGTGTGACGTCTTGCCACCAGAAGAGGCCGAAGATAAGTACTCTTCGTACTTGGTTTGATCGAACTCGATGACGAGGAACTCAACGCTTGTCCCTCTAGCAATCTCGTCAAATTGCGTCACCATCATTTCGTCTGAAAGAATGGTTGCTCCTACTGTGATCGCCATCTTCTATTTGTTGTAAAATGAGATCTCGAAATTTGTATTAATTGAATTACTTATTACAAATTAAAATCGCTTTTACACAGAGGAAAAGAGAATTGATTTGATCTCTCTTTATTTAGCGTGGGTTCTACGAGGCAATAGGATGCTTCCCTCGATACACGTGTCAAGTTTGCTTCCCTTTGACGATTTGAGCGAAATTACAAACAAACTTCAGCGCGTGGTAAAAGTTTGGTTAGATGAGTCCGAACACCCGAGCTTGAATGTAAAAGCCGAATGCCAAAATGCAAGAATTCGATTCTCTTGGATGCTCAGAATTCTGATTATCAAAAAGTCCTTTTTCCTGTAGCCATTCATGGCTTTTTATAGAAGGAGGTGGGCAATAACCGCCTCCTTAGAACGTGGGAAATGGGCGTAACCACTCCCACAATTCGAGCAGACGGTTTTAAGCGTTCAGGCGAGCTTGCAGGCGAGTTATGCAAGTTTGCAGGCGAGCTTGGATCATGCAGGCGAACTAGACAAGCTTCCATGCAAGCGAGCTTTTAAGCATGTAGGCGAAGTTGGCGAGCTAACTTGCAGGCGAAGTCGAATCATGTAGGCGAACTTCTTGAGTTTAAGCATTCAGGCAAGCTCAACTCGTGTTGGCGAAGTTAAGTGTTCAGACGAGCTAAACGTTCAAGCGAACTTAGCATTGTAGGCGAAGTTTAGCCTTGTAGACGAGCTTTAGCCTTGCAGGCGAACTTGTCAGGGATAAAGGCAACTTTATTTGCCTACACTACCATAGAAACCTGCAAATTTTCTATTTTTGGGAAGTGATATACTTTGTGAATCGATTCATTGAAAAACCAGCAATAATACACACAAAAAATGGGTTAGCACCAAGGAAGTCACAAGGAAGAAGCTAGTAAGCTAGAGATATCACATGATTTATAAATATGAACATAGAGTTTATTAGAATTATACAAAAATATAAACTACAAATGCGTTTCAAAATATAAGCTAGAGATATCAGGTAAGAAAATGATCGGACCCAGATGATAGTTTACATATAAATCCTCGAATTTAATTTATTTTCCCATAATCATTAATGGCATCTCAAGCTGCCACTCCGAAGTTATTATTACACAAGCGACGTATAATACAGCCTGCAGACACTTCATACAGTTGATAACAGAGATCACCTCCATCTGCAGTTCTTAAACCTAGCTTCTGATTTCAACCACTTGATTGAATCTCAGTACAAAGACCATTACCAGCATCATATTTGCATCCTTCGCCTATTGCTCAATGGAAGAATATATTTTTCCTCCTGCTAGAAGCTGAAGGATGATAAGTCTCTATTTCTTGTTCTAAATGCATACATATAGGAAAATATCCTATGATTTGATTACAGCGCTCTCATTTGGTTACAAAGATAGAAAATAAGACCTGGCATGAAAAAAACATAAGAAAAATGTGTACTTTATATTTAACACATTCCTGGACCGATCTAGAATATAAATGCTTCTCTCAGTAGTTTACAAGATTCTGACGTATGATTTATGGCTGAGAATTTGATCATAGGGAGTTAACACTAGATATTGGCACAGAGGAGCAACATTCTCATTCATTGTGAAACCTTAAGTTAGTTCATACCAGATTATGAAAAAGGTTAGTTCCTTCATACCAAATTATCTAGAGATTTGCCATGAAGTCGGAACAGGTTTTAGAGAATCCATCCTCAAAAGGCATTTTCGTAGCCAAGTTGGTTGTTACGCAAATAAATGGTGCTTCAGAAAAGAGAAGAAAAAATATATTCTAATAACTGTTGTCTTAGGGAAAGTAATTTCATGTTCTAGTTTCTGCTCCTTCCAAAACCTAGATGAATTATTCTCTTTCATTTCAGAGCAAACAGGGACTTCGTTGAAAGTAGCATGTTCAACTTTTCTTAGTTGTAACACAGATTTCTGTTTGAATTTGACTAGACTACCCGTTCTAGTGTCAACAATTTTGAAGCTCTATAGCCTGAAGGTCACAATTTCTCAATGTAGAGCTAGAACTTAATATCATACCTAGGAATGTGTAATATTTTGTCCAGATATTTGAGTGGACTCAAAAGAGCTCCAATGTCTGACACTAGAAACATTGCCAGGTCACAGAGGGGTGTAAAATATATAGGGAAATGAATGAATAAAAAAATATCAGCAGTATCAAACACCATGAGACTTATTTGCTATGCTGCTTGTAAATGTAGTATGCAGAAAATGATGCAAGATCCACTCGTTGCGGGAAATTAACCTCAAAATTTTTTGGTTGGATATCTGCATTTTTATTGTAGAAAATGTATTTCCAAATCTAGTGTTTGATTAGTTACAAGAATTGTTGGATATGCATCTTTGTCTCAGGAGAAGTAATTTCATTATAAACCAAGTGTTTGTTTATGTGCAATTATAAAATGATCAACATTTTTCTGAGTTGGAATCCAGTAACTTGATGATATCACGACATTAACTTTTAACTTTCTCTAATTAATCATGAACTTGCAGCTACAGTTTTTTATACAAAAACTAAATCCAATTACCATCCCAACTAATTTCTTGGTAATCAAACATTAAAAACATAAAATTGACTGCAGCATTTGTTGTTGCAAATCTATCTCTTGTCAAGTAAATAACCCCTATAATTTGATTGAGTAAACCTCAATATGAAGGAAAATGAGCATCTTAAGCATAGAAGCATAATCATTGCCATACTAATGATGATCACCCATATGATTTTGTGTAAAGTAGTATAATCAAGTGAAGTGCAGTAAACATGCGCACACAAGAACAAAAAAACAACTATAGATTTTCTGGATGGAGAAATGGACAAATTCATACCTATTGTTGAGCTATCTTGTCGGTGTCCTCAGTATAAGATGGTCTCCACTTACGGTCAAAAGGCCCAAAGCTCCTCGTCACAATAAATTTCTTTTCATCCAGCCTCTTATCAATAGCTTCTAGCAACTCCTGCAAGCCAATCCCCATTACAGCAGAAGTTTTCACATGTTCATGTTTAGCATCAGCAGATGCTTTGAAATCTGTGGTTCCCCACTTTTCTAAAGAAATAGCTTCTTGTTTTTCAAAGCTTTCTAAAGACGTATTATCACCCTCATGGTCTGATATGAAGCCATCCTCTGCTTCTGAAATAGTTTCTTCTTCAACTCCACTGAGGCATTCTTTTTCTGAAATAGTTTCATACCCCTCTTTGCCTTCACTCAGGCACTCATCAGCTAAAATTGTTTCATGCCCTTCTTCGCCTTCACTCTGCCATTCATCTCCTTCAAAAGTTTCACAAGCTCCCATTTTCTTATCAAGGAGATCAATCTGACAAGTTTCAAAATACAGCATAAGTCAAAGTTTCTAAAAAATTTAAGGCCATGAGCAAAAGAATTCTCTATGCCAGAGGGAAAATGTAGTGTTACTTTGTTCCAGACTTCGATCATATTCTGTATCTTTTCTTTTGATACACCAATTTGCTGCAGAACTTCCAAGACAGTTGCACGCTGCTCTTCCATATCAGGAGCACTGGCATCTAGTACATGCTGTATTGGTTCCAAATGAGAACATCAGGCTAAGTTGAATGGGACCGGGTACCGCAACCGGTACGCGGTACGGCTGCGGGTACAGGTACGAGACACGGCAAATCTGTAAAATGTAGGGTACGGGGACATGGCTACATATAGATATTGAAATCAATAATTTACATGAGATCGTTAGTCCTTTTCAATTTATGTGTTTTTAAAATTAAAATTCCTGCCACAACTTTAAGTTTCAATGTTGATTATCATAAGGGGGGAAGTGCTCTTTTCTAACTAGACACTCGAACAACCTTTAAAATCATAGTTTTGAACTTGGATATGGGCTAAGACAAACCCGATCCATATCTAACGAGTTTCAAGAAATGGATGCAAGTGCAGGATATGCGTTCAAGAAGTGTATGACAAGTGTATTAAATTAAAACATATATATCAAGTATGTATCTAAATAAATATATGTATATAAATCCAAGGAGTGTCCATGAAGTTTGCGTACAAGTGTCTGGTACGTGTTCAGTACATGTACGGTTTCATGATAGAAGCAAGGTTTTAGATATTAGTTATCAGGGATTTATCAGACTGTCAAAATACATATCAGATAGCGGATATTGGGGATATATATCGGGGATAAGTAGTATTTATCGGAGTGACACTACTAGATGGAGATATACATAATATAATATTCTAAAATGTAACCTAACTATACTTAATGAAATATAAATAGTATTTATCGGAGTGACACTTCCGGGTGGTGATATACATAATATAATATTCTAAAATGTAACCTAACTATACTTATGAAATATAAACATACCAAAATGTAAATAACTATGTTTAGGATCACTAACCAATGGTAAAAACACGGGTTGGGTTGGGTTTAAAGTGCATAGAATAGGTGCCCGTTGTCCAAAATCAAAACTTAAACCAAATGTCGATAATTCTGATTTTGGGCCGACAATATCGGCCGATAACTCACTTCATCGCTGCATTATCGGCGATAAACATCCAGAAACGATAACCGATTTAGAATCGAACTTATCATAGCGGAAGGCCCCCAAAACCGATAAATTACCGATAATATCGATTTATTGGCCGATATTTAAAACATTAGATAGAAGTACCCACGTAACATAGACATCAAGCAATATATACATCTGGTGTAGTGAGATTCCACGGCCACTTAGTTGACAAAATTGAATAAAAACATGGGTTTATTGTGTGTATTTGTGTGTGTGTACACACCCCTCATCCATATTTATAAAATTAGCCCCAGATCTCAATATTTGCAAAAATATCCTCATTTCATCAACGTTGGAAAAATCTAACCAGATCTACAATGTTACTCATCCAATGATTTAGGGGTGTTGTCTTACAATTTCATCCTTTGGCAAATCAGCCCAAATCAAAACCTAAAATTGTTTGATAAGTAGTAGCAATAGATCCAGGGGAGCCTTTTTTTGTTTCTATTGTTGATGAAATTGGGGATAATTTTGTAAATACTGAGTTGGGGGTAATTTGCAATATGGATGATTTAAGGGGTATGTAGACCAAAAACCGATAAACTTATCCAAGCTGAGATGTGCAAAAATTTAAGTGCCCTATACCAACTCCAAACCTGCAACTTTCTACTCTAGGGTTTCAACTAAAATTCACAAGAGTCTAGATGGTAAACCCGAACGTTTCACAAGCAGTCAGAGTCTCTAATTCTTTGCGGATGTTATCCAATTCAAACTAAAAACATTTACGAACAAATGTAATGATTTCAATGAAGACTTCCCTTTTATACTTATTACGTGAATCCTAGATCGGATCAATGCTTAATTAAATAACAATATATGTGACTATACACTGAAATCCAAATTCATGCACAAACGTGATTAGCTTATAAAATTCGAATTTGAATCTTACATTAATCTACCTAGAAGTGCCAAGCGTATATGCAACTAAAAGATAAGGTGCACACACTAAAAATAAGATGCAATGCAGATAGAACTTTTGTGGCTTGGACAAAACTTGTACAATTTAATCTTGCATCTCTTTTCGACCAAAATGTGGACATGTACGTGGACACATTACCATATGCTGTAATCAATAAATGAATGTGTGGATACTAAACATGAAAATGATAAGATGCCAAAATCATATATGTACTCCATCCCAAGTTGTTGGGAGTCTTTCATGTATATAGTTAGTTTCTTGTATTTAGTTTAGTCCCACATTGGTTAAAGTCAAAATTATTTTGCAATTCTAATACTATTAATAAGACTTGAGAGGAAAGAGACATAAACATTCTCTCTGATTACCCAGTTAACATGGTATCAGAGCCAACCACCAAAAAGAATCCCCCTCTCAATTGATCTCAGCCATCTATCTTCTTCTCAATTAATCCTAGTCATTAATTTCTTAAAACCCTTGTCATCACCCTCTCACCTAATTTCCCAGCAGTCAATACCTAAGCCAAACCCTAGCCTCTAACCCAAACCCTCACCCGCACCACAATCACGGCTCCGCCAATGCCTCCGACCATGTTGTCGTTGCCTCGCCCCTGACCTTGTTACCTAATTCCCGTCGCTGCCACCCCTCGACCTCGCCACATCGCCCTACAGCTGTCCCCGACCACAATGCCCCACCCCTACCTAGCTACCGCTATCGCCACCGACCCTATTGCCGCCCATTGACCTCGCCACCGCCCTGTAGCCACTAACCTAGTTCTGCTAGCCTACTTCTCTAATAATACCTAGGTTCGCACAAAAAAAGAAAAAAAAAGATAACACTAGCCGTCAAGGTTAAAACAAACACTTTTACCTGTTTCCTCTTGATATTGTTACCGAATATGCTTGAGATTGATTAGTTGGGATTGTTTGTTGGTTGTGCTAGTTTTCACTGCTGATTAATTTGGTTGGTATTCATTAGATCTTGTTGGAGGTTAGCTTGTTGTGCTAATTGACGACTGTTTTTGTTGTGTTTGGTTTGTTAGACTAGTTGCTGATTTCTTATTGTTGTTTGGAGGATCTTCTTTTGTTTGATGGCTTCTTATTCGACAAGTGAAGTGAAAACGAAGGTGAAGACCACTCCAGAGGTAATATCTACCAAAACCACCGATCGAAAGTTGGATGGTGATAGTACTTGCAGTGGAAGCAAGTAATTGAGATTCATGTAGCGGGGTGTCGAAAGATGCGATACTTGACAGAAGGTCCTCCTGATCTAGTGACTGAAGAGTGGGCAGCTTATGATGCGCTACTTCTTGGACAAATCATCAACACAATGGAGCCACGGATTCAGGATCTGATGCTTCATTGTCAGACCGTGAAGGAGCTTTGGGCATATTTAGGCCGATTATATTCAAGAGTTGGATATGTGAATAAAAGCTTATGATCTCATTCAGGAGATCCTTCGCATGATGCAGGAGGAACCAACATGGAATGGGCATCATGCAGTGTTTAATTGACTAGTTGAGGAGTTTCGACATTTTTCCCATTACATCAGATGTGAAGCAGATACAGAATCAATGGGATCAGTTGATGGTCTTGATCATCTTAGGGACTCTACACCCTATTTATCACTGAGCATGACCACAAGTATTAGGCGGTACAACAGTCTCCTCATTTGTAAAGAATTATCACTTCCGAAAATGGGTGACTTCTACGATCTTGTTTACCTATAATGGGTGACTCCTATGATCTCATTTACACCTCTGATCACCTCACCTGATTGATCTGCCTTAGCATCCTAAGGACGATAGACTGGAAGCTGCAATGGTAATTTCTCAAGTCGTGGTGGTGAGCGCGGATAAGGACACTTTATAGGACATGGAGATAGTTCACAAAGAGTCATCAGAGATTATTCCTCTGTTTACTATCATTATTGCAAGGAGTTGTCATATGAGGTTCAATTGTCCTCAGTTGCAAGGCAAATAACCTCGGAATGCGCATGTAGCTACCAACGAGTCCCTTAGATGATCCGACTCGTCGCGAGCTTGAGCTGTTCCAGCTACAGCTATTCCAACAGTTTAAAAAGACGCAGTCCTACCCCACTATAGCCACGCTTGCCCAGTCAGGTAATCCTACTGCTTATCTTACATCATAACCGTCTCATACTTGGGTTGTAGATTTAGGGGCGACTGAACACATGACTGGAAACCAAGGTATATTGTCCTCTTGTACACCTACAACTTTATTTTCTCCTGTAGTTTTAGTTGATGGTTCCAATGCACCTGTAGAAGGAATAGGCTCTGCTAATACTACTACTTTCCCCTTTCATCTATGCTATATCTTCCTCGCTTTGTTATCTATCAATAATATTACTAAAACATTAAACTGTACAATAATATTTTTCCTACACATTGCATTTTTCACGCTCTTAGGATAAGGAAGACGATTAGCATAGGACATGAGCGGAACGGTCTGTATAAACTAGACCTATCTTCAGACCAAGTTACGTGTATCAACTCTATATCAGCCTTTGATCAGCGTTGTTAGTTTGTTCGCCCTCCTGTTTCTGTTCTCAAAACAATAACTTCAAATCAGATTTATGTTGAGTCTTTGGCTTGTGAGTTATGTCAACTAGGAAACACTAGCAAATGCTCTACCCTAGTCGTGTCAATAAAAGGGTCCGTAACCTATTTAACTTGGTGCCTTCGGATATATAGGTCCTTGCTCGGTTTTGTCAAAACTTGGTTTCAAATATTTTGCTAGCTTTGTGGATGACTTTTCTCGCATGATATGGGTCTATTTATTGAGAACTCATTCCTAACTGTTTTTTTTTTTTAAGTTTTTTTGTAGAAATTAAAAATCAATTTTATAAATCTATTAAAATTTTGAGGAAAAAACATGCTAAAGAATATTTTAACAAATCATTCACAAATTTTTTTGGAAGAAAATGAAATTTTACATCATCATCATGTATTCATGTGTTTACACACATCAACAAAATAGAATAGTTGAGCGTAAAAATAGGCACTCTTTAGAAATTACTCGAACATTGTTGTTTCATCGTGAGGTTCAAAA